AACTTGATTTTGAAGCTTTGGCATCTGTTTGTGAATATGGAGGAAATGATATAGCATGTTATATATTAAAAGAAGAAAATCCAGAACTATTTCAAGCCTTGTTCTAATTACCTATGGATGTTATAACAGAATCTTTCTTTATTAAATGGACAAACTCATCATAAAATGCAATAAAAGAAGGGGATTTTGTGGACAATACTGTTTTACTGAATATTAGCATCTGCCTACTTCTTTGAAACTATCATCATCACCTCTTAGATTAAAAAAATAAACCTATAAGTTTATGCAATGTAATTCAAGTACACATTTCATAAAAGAAACAACATAATTCTTCAACTTAACACAAGATTATATGAACAGAGCCAGAGGGTACATTTTACTAATTCTGCAGAGTAATTCAAACAGTACCAACATCAACAAAAACAGATACTATAAATTGAAATAGGAATTTCAACGATAAGATTTCTAGAACCTAGCACGAGCATTGTATCAGTCATAAAATTTCAACCACAATACAAGCTCGACACCACTAATTACACCACAAAAACAGTAAATGTTAAACAGTAGCTATGTGGCAATCTAAATTCAAGAGGAACAAAAGGGATGTAAGCATGTCAGGGGTCTCATAGTTGCGATAAACCACTTGAATCCGGCTCGTCCTCTTCATCAAGCAATGTTGGACATGAAACTTGATCAACCGTTGAAGTCAAACCTAAAAGGAAAAATGCATAGTTCAATGTATCAATATAGTATTAAACAATTGAATACCTATTAAGACAATAACGAAAAAATTACTTACCATTTAAGTCATTCCATAACCACGTGCGAGCACACATTAAAGCTTCCAAAGTAGTGGGGTAGAGTCTACTCCGATGCGGGCTAATCAACCTCCCACTAGTGCTAAATGTCGATTCTGAAGCAACAATAGACACGGGAATGGCTAAGAGATCACGAGCTATTTTTTGCAATGTAGGAAATTTCAATCCATTTGTCTTCCACCAACTCAAATTGTCAAATGAAGGGGTTCGAGGTAGTAGGTCTTCTTCTAAGTACATATCCGACTCTGATCTTTTCTCCACGGTAGCTCCAGTTGAAGCTACAAATCTATCAAAGCTCGAAAGCCGATCACCATGAGTAAAATTAGTGACTTCACTAGAACTAGATGCTAATGAATCATGTGGAGCAGATAATTTACTCTTATAATCTTGAAAGATATCATAACAATTGGATCGAACTTCTTGAATTTTAGTTGAAGCTTCTTCACCATAAATTAGTGGAAGAAAGAACTCTACCAACCTCATCTTGTACTGTGGATCAAAGATTGCAGCTACTCCCATCAAAATATGTACATTATCCCAATATTTTTTAAATTTCAACAACATCGCAGATGCCATAGTGCTAATCACACGATTAAACTCATTCACCCAAGCTTTCAATTATAGCTTAATTTCACAAACTTTTGTAAAGTATTGACTAGAAGTTGGATATTGAGTTCCTGAAAACTGTTCAGTGATATGATAAAAAAGTTTGAGCTTATCAGAAACATCTTCTGCATTACTCTATTGCCCTTCAGTTGTATACGACTGATAATTTGTGTCAGTTAGACTCAACTTGTTAAACACCTCTTTGTATTCTATAGTTGTTCTCAACATTAAATATGTTGAATTCCACCGAGTAGGACAATCATACTCCAACTTCTTATTACAAGAACAGTGAACCAAACGTGCGGCTTCTTCAAACCTCTCAATTCTGCCAGCTGATCCAATCCAATACAGGACACTATCACCCACTTTGCTAATACTATCTCCTATCACCTTTAACCCTTCTTGCACAATCAAATTTAAAATATGTACAGCACAACGCACATGAAATACTCGACCAGTCAACAACAAATCTTTTTTATTAAGTTTCCCATCCAATAAAGTTTTAATCATAGCATTGTTTGTGCTAGAATTATCAACTGTGATAGTTGATATTTTTCGTTCAAGATTCCAATCAAACAAACAATTAACCAAAACACTACAAAAAACATCTTTATCATGTGGAGCAGGGACATAAGCAAATCTCAAAATATGACTTTGAAGCCTCCATGAATCATCAATGAAATGACCAGTTATAGCCCCGAACCCTTTTTTGTTACTATTGGAAGTCCACATATTGGTTGTTATTGCAATTCTACTCGTGACTTTTTCCAACAACTTAGAAGTTTGCAATTTAAAATCGTCAAAAATTTTCATTATGTCATTCTTGATTGTATTTCTGGAAACCATCTTAAACATAGGCTGGAGACTCGCAACAAAATTCCTAAATCCTACATGATCAACTATAGAGAGTGGATACTCGTGTAAAATAATGGCATGTGCAAGTTGTTTACGTGAAACATCTTGATCAAAATAACCATCCCTAGTATCACCCTCATTTTGTACATCTCTTGGCTTTTTAGGACACTTAGATATGTGATCTAACATAGATTTTGTACCACAATTTCTAGCATTCTTATATCGACGATTGCAATACTTACAAACACCATATGGAACACCATTAAACTTCACCGGCTCGAAATGATTCCATGCTCGGGAATATCTTCTTTTTTCTATTTGAACAACTTCATCATATTGTAAAGGCCTTTGACTCTCATCGTCTAAGGAAATAGCATTAGAAGAAGAAGTTGGCAGATTCTCTTCATTTTGAGATGCCATGATTATCTAGTAAAACAAAGACAAGAAATATCACTAAAAGCTGATATTTAGAAACACAATTGTAGTTTTGTGTCATTTTTGGGCAATTAAAGGAGGTGAGGGTGCAAGTTTTGGTGTCATTTTAGCCTTTCAAATTCAACTCGTTCAAGTCCCACAAAGAATAATAGAGTCAGTATCTATTCCTGCCTCTTAATTTGTTTTACGTACCTTATTTGTTTTACATTCTGAATTATCACTGCATATTCTCTTACATTCTGATAAGCACAAGCACACACAAAATTCACTTCATGACCATCTTTAACTTCAATAACACAGATTGCAACTTTCCAGGCAATGTACTCTTTATGAAGAAACTAGACTATTGTATAAAATCAAAATGAACCCAAAAAGGCGAAAGTTTGAGGTTTTATTAAACCCTTTCTCTCCCTCCCTTTTCACTCTTTATTAAAACCCAAGTCCCCAACTGACCAAAAAATTCCTTTCCCTTTTTCAACAACAAAATTTTAATTTCAACTTCTAGGCATAGCAAAATCTCCACTATAAAAATTGTACTACACGAAACTCCGGCTGCAATCGCAGCTGCAGAAGTAAACAAAGATGAGCACTATAGATAAAATGCTTATAAAAGGCATACAGAGCTTTGACCCTAAGAACAAAAACGTCATCACTTTTTTCAAGCCATTAACGCTCATCGTCGGCCCTAATGGCACTGGAAAAACTGTAAATCGCTACTCTTAACTCACTCTATTTACGTGCTTGAATTGTTATTTTTTCATTAACATAGAAACTGAGAAATTTTCTGAAAATTGTCGTTAGAGAGAAAGCAGAAAAATACAAACAATTGACCCAAAAGAATAATAGTATTGACCCAAAAATCATTTCGAGAAAGAGAAAACTTTAAATTTGCTGAGAAATCAAGAGCATTACCTGGATTTGCTGGAGAAAACTTTGTCCCGAGCCCGGAGGAAGAAAAAATCGAAGAAAGTTTGAGGTTTGAGGAAGAAGAATTGCAGCAGTTCAAAGAGGAAGAAGAATCGCATGAGAGCTTCTGACTTTTGAGTTTGGGAATTAGGTTTGAGGCTTTGACCGTTTGGGATTTAAGATTTTAAGAAAAAGTATCGGGTCTAACTTATTTTGACCCGATCCAGCTATTAACCCGATGTGCCCTACCCTAACTTGCCTTATTAAATTTTTTTAAAAATAACCCCATTAAAATCTTCCCCTGCCCCGCCCCATTTAAGATTATCCCTGCCCCGCTCTGGCCCAATTGCCATCCCTAGTTAGAAGTTAGTTATTTAGTTATTTACTGTACATAAATACTGTACACTATATTGAAGAATTAACAGATTTCATTTTCCATTCAAGCAGCTCCTCTCTTCTCTCATACTCTCTCTTGCTTACTTTGTGCGCATCTCCCCTTCCAATTACTAGTAGCCATGGCAGCTAACAAATATATCAAATAAGGAATACAGCAAATTAAACTTATTCATACAATTTGATTTCAACAAATGAAACAACCAAGTTATTACCAGTGAAAATAAATTGAAACCAAGAAAATTCGAACTGATATAGCAGAGAATTATTATACAGCTGATAAAATTTAAAGAGGAGAGGGCATCATGGTGAAGATTTGACTCAGAAATACATTAACCAAAACAAAAGTGTGAAATATATACAGGAACAACACTAAAATTAATGACAATAAATTTCAAAATAGACAAACGTAATCTTTCCAAAAAGAGGACTGGCTAAGTTAATTAATATCTAGAATATGATTTAGGTGAAGACAATAATCCATCTCATGATATAATTCTCTTACTTCTAGTTTACACAATTATTAAGACAATTTTGAAAATATTAAGTGTTTATATGTAACATATTATTTATGTTTTTACAAAAGAATGGAAACTGGATGGCGAAAAGTAAAACAAAAAAAAAACTCTAACACGTTATAAAATATGAAGTTTTTACATTTGATCTCAAATAGTAGATAAGTAAAAAATATATACTCTCTGTCACATAATAAAACATGAAATTTCTACAACTGATAAAAACATACCCAATAGTACTGTATTTCCAGAGAGAAAATAACTACCATGAAAAATCTTGAATAAAAATGGCTGCATTGACTTTGGACAAAACAATAATGATCTCAAATTAGGATTTAGGAACATAGAAAATAAAAAAGAAGAAACTACATGTGGTACTGAATATGAAAACCCGATCTGAATTTTTCCAGAAACAATAAAACAAATTCAAGGAAGAAAGAAATAAAGAGAGTCAAGAAGTTAACGTCAAGAACAGTAACGTAAAACAATGAGCCAAATTAAACTACGTGGCTTTCACTGCTTCAGCAAAAAAAGAAAGAAGAAGTGCATGGAGAATATTAAATTGAGTACGCATCAATCACATTATATATAATAGGGTATCAGATCCATCACTTGTCAATATCCTCCGGCGGCGGCTGCAGACATTGAAGACTGCAACTGCAACAGGTGGCGATAGCAGTCAGCCGCCGTCGGTCGCTGCTCCGGGTTTTGGTCCAAACACCTGTTCTGCAATTCCCTCAGCAATTTTGGTACCCCCACTAACCCACAACTCTTCACTAATTGACCTATTCCCCATACATCAACTTTTACATTATGATAATTTCTCACCATCTCCGGCGGGTGCCTCCCACTAGCCGCCGTCGCCGCGGCTGCTCCTCCGTAAGGATATAGCTGTGGCGAACTCACTGCCTCGTCGAATCCCGTAATGAACCATTCATTTTCCCTGTCACTTCTCCTCATGACTTTATCCCATCCCAAATCCCTGTGCATAAAAGAAAGATCATGTAATGCAACCAATGCTTTTGTGATTTGCTTTAATGCTTCTATTAGTTGATCACAATTAGCCGGCTTGAACTTGCAGCCTCTAGGCTTAAAGACCAAAGCTAAATCCTTTTCAGATGCCCTAACAACAAATTCTGCATGTGGGATTCTATGGTCAAGAAAATCGTATATTTCTTTGACTGCCACCCATTTTCTTTTACTAGAGAAATATCTCACCACTGTATTTGGAGTCATCTCCACAATATTTCCGTTACCCAGATCTATTCTCTCAAAATCGGTATAAGGTAGATGTTTTAAATTACTCCCGTTGCTACTCATATAATGGAAACATCGATCAGCTAATAATGGTAATAAGCCAGCAATTCTCCAACATGGAACTAAAGCTTTTAGTCTTTCAACTGGGGTTGAGAGATCCACTGTGTAAAGATCCGTTCGGATAATTCGATCCTGTGATCGACTTAAAGCACAGAACGTAACAATGAAGCCAACGGCATAGTAACCTAACACGTAAGGAAGGTCCATATAAGTCCAGAGAAGTTTCTCCACAATAGAAGAAGATGGATCTAGTTGACCTTCACTTAGTTGACCAGTCTCCTCTCCTCTCCACAAGCAAAAATTCCTCAAGAAAGCAGTAACATTAGGCCATTGATCTTGCACTGTTTCCGCAAGAGAAAACGATGAATTTGATTTCCGTACGAAAACCATTTCAATGGAACAAAACTTAGATATAATCCTATTGATGCAATCATCCCAAAGTCCAATATAAGAGTCCCTATCAGTTGCAGTACTCAGGCTAGGGTTTGGGCGCATAATAGAGCTCAAGACCTCATAAGTGATGCCTCTACAGTCTAATAACTCAGTTGAAATTGTGAAAAATAATTCTTTCCCTTGAGGCAAATCTTTGAACACATCTCTCCGAAGTGGGAAACGGAGCTCCTCTGGTGGTGGCTGTTGTAAATGCCATGAGAGCTCAAACAAGCTTGGAAGTGTAGGTGGTGGAGATCTTAGACACCCCACGTAATACTCAGTTGGATCTTGAAATTCCCAAGGAGTAGTTGCTGCAATTATTTTATATTAATTTAAAATCCAGTTGAAAGCAACAAGATGCTATTAATGGGAATCTGGTAATAGACTAATATAAAATTCATTTCGCTCAGGGAAAGGAATAGAAAATTACTAAATCATTGGCTTTTCACAAATAGAAAATCCGAAAATTATGGAAGAGAGACTTACATTTGATGGGAAATTCAGAGGAGGGAAGTTGCAATCTTTCATTGGGACCTAGATTCAACAGAAAAAAAACCGTTACTTCCTATAGTTAATGATTAAGACTCGTACATTCTAAATATTAAAAAATGCACTTAAACAATTACAGTAAATAAAATATAATACCAGAAAGAGCAGGAGCTGAAGAGGATTTTCTCCTGCCAAAGACTTTTAGTTGTACTCCAGAAAGGAATCTATCAACGGAAAAACCTTTCATAGGTCCATCTTCAAAGGCCTCCATTGTGCAGGCAACCGTAGAATCATCCAAGAAAGCAATTTCATCGGCGTTTAAAAAACTTGTACCTTGAAGCTTCACTCTACCTCTGTGATGTTCACCTTCTTCTGCCCACAAGCTCACTGATTCCTCCCATATCATTCTAATCTTGCCAATGCGACGAAGCTCTTTTGAAGAAGCAGAAGAAGATGGACCCCCAATATCTAATGAAGAAGTAGTAGTTGTGTCGTACCCTAAGAACCCACTTCTTGTTCCATGTAGTAATGCTTCTGTTCCACTTATTGGTATAGCCAACTGTTTTGCCCTTGCTGCATTAACAAATGTTCTTTTAAATATTGTCCCATCTAAATTTAATGTTGTGCGTACGTTAGGAAAATAAGAACAATTTAAATTAGGAAGAAAAGAAATATGAGTAAATAAATTTAATTATTTTCCTCATTTATGAGAAATGGACTTGATGTTGTTGACAGCATACCAGAGAGAGGAAGGTCATCCTCTCTGAAAGGTGGAGGGGGAGGCAAAGATTTGGTTACTGTGTCACTAAGAGAGACGACAATATTGGCCTGACTTCCAAATCCAGCTCCAACTCCTCTAGTTTGAGGACTTCTCATTCTAGAGCCCATAAACTGAGATAATTCTTCAAACACCTCTTCATCAAATGAAGCAGGCAATCTATTCATCTTCCTTTCATAAGGGGACAGTCTAAAATAACTCTTGCTACCTTGTTCTCTCTCAGCACCTCTCTCCCATTCGTAGACTTTTCTGAATTCACCTAACATGTTGTCCCATTTAGTTCCAGCCGTTTTAGCATCTCTGCTAACTCCATGCCTGTTGAGAAAATCAGCCACTTCTCTATCTTTATCAGCTCGAGTTTTTCCTCTACCTTGTTGCACTCCCGCGCCTGTACTCATTTCTTGAGAACCTTCTAGATGAAGCTCTGATGAACCACCTTGGTACTGAATTTTCCAAGCCCTAGCTAGCCACAACATCTCGTTAGGTTTCCAAACTGGACTTACGTATTTTCCTTTCCGAAATTGTTGGTGAACTTGTTCTCCTCCTTCGCCTTTGCTAGTTTCTTGCCCAGATGCAGAAGGCCGAGGCGAGTGTGAAGGAGAAGAAGCTGTGTCCGAAGACGACGCAGCTTGAGTTTGAGGGTTGGTAGCAGCAGCTGCTTGTGGCGAAGGTGAAATTGGACTTGACTCCGTGCTTAGTATATTCACTTGACTGGGATTTTGCTGTTGTTGTTGAGAAGAAGAAGATGGTATGAATTTCCATTGACTTGCAGTATATCGAGGTCGCTTTGGGTTCACAACTTCAAACTGCAGTTGTTGTTGTTGTTGTTCAAAAGAAACAGATGTAGTTGCTGCACCGCCTGGGATATTATAGAGAGAAGAAGAAATATAAGAAGCTCCAGAAATCACAGGTTGCGGTGGCTGTTGCTGTGGTATAGTATTATCAGGTGAATCTTGATTAGAGTCATTAGGAGAGTTGGATAAATGTTGTTGTTGTGGTGGTGGTGGTTGTTTCTTTGTGGTTTCTCCTTTGTTTTCATCCATCTCTACAATGGGGGCCCAGAGAAAAAAAATAATAAACACACCGCCCTAACTCCTTAGTCACAAACCAGAACCAAGAGAGGGAAATGAAACCACCATTTCAAAACTTTGCTGTAGAACTAGATCTGTTCAATTTAGACTTGTTCAAGTGCTTTTGTTTAATTTTTATTTTCCATAGTATTTTATTTGACCAAGAAGTCCAAAGGAGGAGGATTTTGAGAACTTCTGTGACCTATGTTGAATCCTAGGGTATCTCAAAAGGGAAAGAAAAGTGAGACTTGTATAGGAAAAGGCCAGAAGTAAGGTTGCAGAGAAAGAAAAGTCGAGATTGTGGAATCTGTCTTTGAATGAGACTTGACCATGAGCTCAATTTTAACAGTAAATACTTTCTCCTCTAATCTTTTTACTTGTAAATCTGAGTGGGGCGTGGCTGGGGTGAAGGAAAAATTGTACGAAGAAAGAGTGTATGTTTGGGGGTAGGAGTGTTTGATTTGAGAGTAAAAGTAATGATTGTACTGAAAAAACAGAGAAATGCGGCTATGAAAGAGTTAACATTCATTCTTCTAACCAAGGATGCAATTAATGGTCTTTGTTTTGTTTGTTTGGACTTCTGTTTATCGGACACGAAGATAGCGAGAGTTGCTTTGGATTTACTCTTCTACGATTTCTTTCTTAAATTAATTACTTATATTTTAGTTTTTGTCTTTATTATACTCTTATTTTTCTTTGTAGGGAATCATGTGGACTGATCGGGTCAATGGCTCTGCCAAGTGATTAATACTTCTCTTACATTGGCGCATGTTCATTTTAAAGTTCTTCAAACCTATTTCATAATTCCCACTACATATTCAGGTTGAGCTAAATCTTATATCACAATGTTATGTGATCCAAAAATTGGTTTTTAGTTTTTATAGTTACTCCACAATTGGCTTAATAGGAGTTGTCATTTCTACCAATTCTCTAACCACTTGTTACATACAATAATCATAATGAATTTTAATAAACTAAAATCAAACATGCATAAATGATTTGATATGACTTCAAAAATGTGAATTTTGAGATTGATTAACTCTCTCTACTAGAAACGATATCTAATCTTGGCCAGATATGGACTCGAGGGGTTGCTCAGATGGTCAACATTCTCATTTATAACTTTGTGGTCGTGGGTTCAAGTCACTAAAGGAGCAATAGCTCCAATAAAGGATTTTTTTTTATTCCCCCCTCCCTTTGATCAATCTCCCTTTATTAGAGCTATAGTTCTTTTGGAGACTCGAACCCAAAATCATGAGATTGTATATGGGAAGCACTAACCATGTGAGCAACCCCTCTCGTCAAATGGCACCCTCCTAACACTACTAGAAATTCGGTAAAAACCGACCAAGATCGACCGACCAACTTTGGTCGGTCAAAAAACCGACCAAAGTTGGTCGGTTTTTCAAAACATTTTATTTTTTAATTTTTTTTACCAAACCAACCAACTTTGATCGGTTTTCTTTGGCGCAAAAATGTGGAAAACTACTTTTTAGTCCCGCGATATTCAAGAAACCGACCAACTTTGGTCGGTTTTTCAATTAAAATAAATAAACATTAATATTAAAAAAACCGACCAAAATTGGTCGGTTAATTCGGCCGGTCATTTAAAAAAATCGACCAACTTTGGTCGGTAGTTTTACTTTTTAATAAAACCGACCAACTTTGGTCGGTTATTTTCGTGCGAAAATACAATTAAAGAGTATAAATCAAATAAAAGAGAGTCTTAAAACAAAATGTACTAATGGTCTAGTGGTAGAATAGTATCCTGACACAGTACAGACGCCGGTTCGATTCCTAGATGGTGAATCTTTTTATTACATAATTAAAATACCGACCAACTTTGGTCGTTTTTTTTTTGTAATATTTTTTTTTATTTAATTGACCGACCAAAGTTGGTCGGTAATTTCCGACCAATTTTGGTCGGTATGCCTTTCCGACCACAAAAATACCGTCCACACGTAAATGGTCGTGTTTTGGTCGGTTTTTGGCCATTACCGACCAACGTTGGTCCGTTTTTTTGGTCGATTTTTATCGGATTTCTAGTAGTGTAAAGGCTTTTAAAAACATAACATTGTAACAACATATATAAGCTAACACCCATTGTAGTTGAAATAGACAACGTGTGAGACCATTACACTAATACAAAATGGATCGACAGCTCACCATAGTTTTATCATCGAATACAAGTCATTAATAATGCAGCTGGAGAACTCAGAGATCAAACACTGCTTCAAAGAGGGCAACACAGTAGTTGATATTTTGGCAAAGGAACTAAGGAAGTGTCCAAGCAAGCCAACTCTTTTGTTTAATTCTCTCTTGCTCCTCCCTATTTTGCAAATTCAGCTCTAATAGCGGATAGAGTAGGAACTAATTTTGCAAAATGCTTCGTCTAGTTTGTGTAATAGTGGCTAGACTTGACAATGATAGTATCCGAAGTGATACTCCTACTCCTATTGGAAATGTAATGACTATTTTAGCTTAATAGTAATATCATCGTATTACTACAAAAAAATAAATAAGGAGGTAGTACACAAAATTCTACTACATAGTACTACTGGGTATCAAACACTAGAGTATATTATATTCAAATTAGCTTTTCTACCGTTGAATTATATGTATTCTTATTTGAAATCTCTATTAGGATTAATAGTTAACTTTTATTAAATCTAAATGAAAATAGGTCAAATGCCGAATCATACATTTTCCACTGAAAAGTTTGACTATCAAGTCTATAATATATGAAGTAAATAAAAGTTTCAACACGATAGCACCAAAGAATTCACAGAACACATAGGATGAATTAGTTATCTGTGTAGAAATACTTAAAACATGAATCTTTCCCAGTGAGAAGGAGAGCTAACATTGGACAGTATATACATTCTCTTATTGAAAGATGAAAAATACAGAGAGAAAAATTTCTCAATTTGATGGAAGTACGCAGTGTATGAGTCAAAATCTGCCTTTAGGATATTCATGTTAAAATAACACTGCGAGAAGGATCCGCAAATCATCATTTAAAGACGGTCATGAAGTCACATTAGCCAAGGTCGAGAAGTCTAAGAAAGTCGTGGTCAAAATACCGATGAGGACCAAGGCCGAGAAGTCGAGGAGAGTCACGGTCAAGTCATTAACGAGGATCATGGTCGAAGAGTGGAGGAGGGCCGTGGTCAAATACTGACGATACAGTTGTACGGCTAGTTTTCAAAATGGAATCAGGAAGGGAATATTCTAGTGAATATTCCTTACATTTGTACTATTAAGGTTTTTCGGGAAAGGATCCCATATAAATAAAAGGAAGAGAGAGGAAAGGCACGTGAAATTCATCCGTGTAAAGAACAACACTTTGAAAAAGATTTATTTTTCACTCAAAACAAGACTTTACTTTTCATTAAGATTCTTGCCAAATCCGAGGAACTCTCGACTGTTTGAGGATCTGTCATCCAATCATTGTCGGGTGAAAGTTTTCTTTGTTCTACTTTTTGTTGCTTAAATTATTTTCCTTAATTACGTGACTGACACTTATTGAATATCTTACATATTGTTATTGTTCTTGGTAGTTATCCAACTACCTCTTTGATATCAGGATGAGGAAATTATTCTTAACTAAGATTAACCTATGTTTAATTTGAATTAATTATTTGAACCGAGATTTACGTTTTTGGGTCACACAAGTAGACATTTTAGTTTAAAACGGAAAATAAAAAGTAGAACTGTCAGTTTGGGATACAGAAAAGAGCACATTTGTATGGAGTTCATTACTCAAATGGTCACTCAACTATCCCAAATTATCTGCTAAAGTCACTTTTCTTTCGTTTGTAACAACAAAGTCACTTAACTATGCATATAGCACTTAGAAGGTCACTTAACTAGATTTTTCAAATTTTTTATTGTCAAATACATATTTTACCCTCTAAATTATCAATTTTTTAAACTTCTTAAATATTACAAGTTTTTTCTCTTTTTAATCTCCATTGTGGACTTACCTACATAAAAATATATTTTATTTATAAAATAAAAAATAAAAAATTAGTTTTCAACTCATATAATGCAGAATAATAATATAAGCATAAATTTCAACCATATATAATGTATATTATAAAAATACCTTTATATAAATAATTATTTTTATATTACGTACATGGAATGTATATTTTACAACCTTTATTTTCTTTCATTCTCAATTGTGTAAATAATTTTTTTAATTTTTGTTGTTAATACTAAAATTATTATGAACAAATTATTCTACTTAATTTTTTTACTATGCTCATTATTTTGTTATTCCTGCATTATATATGCTTAAATAATTTTTATTTTTTTAATTTATAAATAAAATTTATTTATTATATAGGTAAGTTTATAATATAAATTAAAAAGGGAAAAATCATAATATTAAAAAGTTAAAAAAATAAAAAGAAGATAAATGCTTATAATTTAGAGGGTAAAATAGGTATTTGACAATCCAAAATTTGGAAAATCTAGTTGAGTGACCTTCTGAGTGTTATAGGAATAGTTAAGTGACGTTGTTGTTACAAAAGAAAGAAAAGTGACTTTAGCAGATAATTTGGGATAGTTGAGTGACCATTTGAGTAATGGACTCCATTTGTATTCATAACGAAACAGTGATACAATAGTAATTCAGCTACCAACCGAAGGTAACTTTCATGAATACATATATCACGGGTAAAAACTTATTTGAACCGGATTTTTATATCAAATCAATATATGCATGATATTTATTTGCACGTAAACAAACATATGAACTTTTCACTTCTAACTATAGTTTAATACTCTCTCCGGTTCAATTTGTTTGAACTTCTTTTAAGTACGAGAGTCAAATTGACAAATACTCGATTTGAATTCGGATATACTTTCTTTAAGTTTTTTAGCATAAGATTTTCATACTTAAAAACTACATAAAACGTAATATAAGTCACGATAATTGACAATTCAAAATATATTAAAATTATTTG